TTTATGTCAAACTATATCAAGAGGAAGAGATTGAGAAATAAAGAGATGAAAAGATAAAAAGTTGGAGAAGGTAAATCAATTGCAATAATAAATAAAATAAATGTCTATTAAGAAGAAGTTGAATAGTCTAGGGGGTTAAACTTATCTTAAATGCTTATTAAAAAGTTGAATAATTTGGGAGGTTRAACTTAGTTGGATGCAAAATTACCAAATAATCTCATCTATTATGAAATATACAATTTGCTTGTAGGGGTATAATAGTCTTTAACTTAATTAGTATTTTAAAAAACAAAAAAAAAGAGAAAAAAGATAAATAAGCTCCTAGCTTTTAGAAGAGGCCACATCATACATAGTGGTTTCTTCTTTAATATATATATAGATTTGTTATTACTTGGGTTATTGTGAAGAGAAAGTTGGTCTCGTTTGTTTCTGTGTTCGAAACAAATAGAAGAAAAGAAGACGAAACTGCTTTCGTGATTTTTCTGATTTTGTTGTTGTTTAAACATCTTTATCTACGTGTGATTGCAAATTTGCAATGTGAGTTTTAGTTACAAAGCATCATTTATTTGTTTTTTAGTGAAGAAACCGTAAGATTTGATACTTGAGTAATTGATGATTATATGCTATTTATTAGCATAATTTTTTGGCTTTTGATATGATATTATCATCTGATTATAATAAGGGTGACATAATCAGGAGCTGAGTATTACTTGGTAATAAGAGTGACATAATCAAGAGATGGATATTATTGGTTAATAAGTGTGACATAATCAGGAGTTGAGTATAACTTTGTAATAAGGGTGGCATAGTCATGAGCTGGGTATATTGGGATTAAAGTGACATAATCAAATTCTGTAAATGATGAACTTTTGATCATGGGATTTTGTTATCGCATCAATGTGATGCAATGAGTATGATTTTTATCGCATCAGTGTGATGTGATAAGATTGAGTTATCGCATCAATGAGATGCGAGAAAATATTATTACATCCTTTAGGTGCAACAAGAGGGTTATCGCATGTGTATGATGCGACAAAATTTGTCATCACATCAATGTGATGCGATAAATTGGTGTATTACATGTGGGATGCGGCAATTTAATTAATTGTCTATTTAATGCGATAAGTTTGAGACTTCAATGGGTCATGATGCCATAAGATGAAGTTGTCTCATCTATTTGATGCGACAAGGAGGTTTCTTTTGATAAAACATTGTTTATTTGTTATTAATATAAATATGAACTTTATAAAAGTGTTTTGGTGACTTTTACCTTGTAATAGCAATCAAAAGAGAATTTTCACTAGACCTTATGGTATAACCCCTATTTTATGTTTTAAAATGTGCATTATAGGTCGGACATATTTGGAGAATAAGGGAAAAGAGAAAAATATGAAGAAATTATGATTGCATTACATATGTGGATTTTTAGAAGTTGTTATGTCACATGTACTTGAGAACTTGATTTAAATGCAAGTCATTTATTTGAAGTAAATGAAAAACTCGTAGCTACTTTTGAAATGTAGCAATTTGTATATTTGGGACCAATGTGTATATTTTTATTTTATGTTATATAAAATATATGGGTTATATGTAAATGTAAAATGGGGTGTTACACCTATAAATTTTGGGAACTATTGATGATATTTAATTTGACTCGTTTTTACGTAAATAAATAGAAATTACTCATTTATTTTAAATATAAAAGCTAAAATCCAAATAAATTATTACAACTAACGAACTTCATGAATTAAGCAAGGGAAAAAGAATTAAGCTAAGTTCGTTGATTGTTTAATCATTAAGCCGTAAATAGACGACCATGTACTAACAAACCGTACTGTATATGTCTCAAATCCAAAAAGTTGCATCGGGAATACGGTGTAACGCGGTTTGTCTTTAACACAGTTCAGTCCAAAGTAACTATAAAATAACAAATTGAAAACAAACTCGATGATGATGTGTCCATATTCGTCTCAAATACACAAGTAAAAAAATATTCGAAGTACAAACCTTCATAATTAATTGATTCAAACACATCTGAAAAGTTAACATCCGAATAAATACGACAATGACGTGTAACGTGTCCTTGTGTAATGTTTTATCTCGACCGAGAATTCATTCAAGATCCAATTTGATGTGAATTATTTGAGCTGTAAAACTAATGGATAACTATAAATTTTGAGGTTTTCTTAGACCATCTCTACTCACGGTCCGGAGCAATCTGATCATGAGTAAGACAAAAATGTTTAAAAAGAAAAAGAAAAATACAATTACCAATCTCATCCGATTTGCATCGCCTCTGAACCAAGATTGTAATTTTGGAATCCTATATTTATCGTCACGTGTCACATTTTAGTTAGTCAAGTTACATTTTTTATTTTTTAAAACTTATCTAATTATAAAAATGAAATTAACAAGAAAATTAAAAAAATAATAAATATACCAATATTCATGGTTTTCAATTCCCTATAAATAAAGCCCAATATTAAAATATTTTCATCACACCAATATTTTTCTTCATTTCAATTCTCTCGCTTGCGAATTCCAAAAAAAAAACTTTCATTTTCTTTCAATTTTCTGCTATGGATCCAAACTTCCAATTTTTTTCCTTCAGATTCTCAACATCCTGATAAATTTCAGTATCACCCAAACGCACAGTATGAAAACTTTGAGTTTTTCATCTACTAGCAACGTACCCACGAACAATGTTGTGCAAATCATTTTGATTATGAAGCCGACAACCTGAAACGACAATACTGTTTTATTATCTGTCTCTTTCGATGCTAATTTTCTAGTTTGTTGTGATTTTAAATCATAAATCAGATGATTTATAAAATCAAAGTTAAAATGTTCCATCGGTCAAAGATTTTGAAATAATGTTTTAACCCAAAGTATTTGTTGTTCTTGTCTTTTAAAGATCAACTTATACATTAATTGGTGGTTTATAATTTTTACAACTTGTAATTGAAAAATAAAATACAAGATTTATGTTTTGATGTATAATATGGTAAGAATACTCAAAAACTATCTTCGTTTTGATAAAAAAATTATTGACTACAATAATATTTCAAAAGATAGATCGATAGTAAAGTGAAGCAAATCAATTAGACTCTCATGCTCCATATATAAAACTATTTATGAAAATCAAGTCGATTTATTCTAATTAAAAAACAATATGGAACATTAATCTAGAAAATTGTGGTTTTGTATTAAAAAGATGATTTATCACACAGATCGATTGATGTTTCACAATGTTCCTCAACAAAAAAAACCTTTAGCACACCACACTAAGAATAGGACTATCCAAGTTAGGTTTTATAGGTCGGAGGAAACACTAAGTCGGTATGTTCATCGAGTATTGCGTGCTATATTGCATTTGGAAGACGTGTTGCTTGTCAAACCAACTCCTATTGAAGATGGTTGTATGGATTCACGATGGAAACGGTTTAAGGTACTTATTATAACAATCTTTATACAGTACATAATATAACATCTATCCTTTAGCTAAAACCTATTTATCTTTTGTGTATAGGGTTGTCTAGGAGCAATAAATGGAACTTATATTGAAATAACTATACCAGAGTCTGATAAACCAAGATATCGAACAAGAAAGGGACATATTGCGACCAATGTATTAGGTGTGTGCACTCGTGATCTAAAATTTGTCTACGTTTTAGCCGGTTAGGAAGGTTCAGCTACCTACTCTAGAGTTCTACGAGATGCAGTTACTAAACAAAATGGATTGAAAGACACACCCGGTAATTACTATTTGGCGGATGCAGAATATATCAATGGTGAAAGTTTTTTGGCACCATATAGGAGCACTAGGTATCATTTACGAGAATGGAAAGATGCTAGTCGTGCACCTATTAATAAGGAGGAATACTTTAATATGAAGTACCCACATGCTAGAAATATTATCGAAAGGTGTTTTGGCATCATGAAGAAACGTTGAGCTATATTACGAAGTCCTTCTTTCTATCCAATAACATATCAAGGGCGAATGATTTTAGCGTGTGCTTTGTTGCATAATTATATTAGAACATACATGACCACTGATCCTCATGAAAATTCAACAATCACTATTGAAGACATGCCTATTGGGGAAGACCACTCTTTACCATCAGAGTTCATTGATGTCGTTGAGGCAAGTGACGAGTGGTCTCAATGAAGAGATAATTTAGCCGAAGAGATGTTTGAATCTTGGATGTTAAACCGTACTTGACATTGGTTTGAATTATGTTTGTCTTGTTTGTAATGGAATTATATTTGTAGTGTAACATAATTATATTTGTTTTGGTATTTGGTATTGTTTTCGTAATGAAATCTTGTTATGGTATTGTCTTCATAATGAAACCTTGTTTTGGTAATTGGTATTTTTTTATAGATTTATAAAAAATGGCCGATAGTCGTGGGTGGACAACGGATGAGGAAGACTTGTTGATCACAATTCTTCAAGGCATTGTCATCAACGGGGGAAAAGGTGAGAATGGAAGCTTTAGGTCGGGTATATATGAGGCCATTGTTTCAAAGATGAGGGAAAAAATTCCCAGTATTAGCCTCACGTCGAAACATGTACAAAACAAGATTAAACGGCTAAAAGATAAGTATTCTGCCGCTTATGATATGTTGAATACAAATGGATTTGGATGGAATGACGCAAATCAATGCGTGACTGTAGAAGCTCCCGAGATTTTGGAGGAGTATCTAAAGGTTAGATATTAGTAATGGTTATGGGTTATGTATAATACTTTTTGTTACTTCTCTTAATAATTATTTATTTGTTTTTTGTCGTAGAAACATCCCAACAAAAATTACACGGCGAATAAGCCATTCCCGGATTACGAGCGATTGAAGTTGGTGTTCGGGAAAGATCGAGCAACGGGAAATATGGTTGAATCAGCTACAGACGCACTAGAGAATATGAATATAGAAGACAACGAAGATTTAGCAACTGAATTTGGTGTTTCTCTCTTTCCAAGTCTTTCAGATACAACTTCTCCTTCCTTCATTCCTCCAAGTGAAAGAAAAGAAACAAGTAAAAAGAGAAAAAGGACAACCGAGTTATCAAAGATGGTGGAAGCAACCAAGATTTCGATTGATGAAGCAAACCACCCAAATGAAAAGGTTGGTTTCGGTCATTTCGGATTCTACACCCGAAATGGGTGGCTTGAGAGAAGAGTTGAGACGACTTGGGATTAGTGTGATTGAAATCATTCAAATGGGTAAGTATTTTGCAGACAAACCATTCCAATTTCGTTTCTGGAAGAGTTTGGATGATTATCTAAAAATAGAATTTGTGAAGTCAATTTGCGATGACATCAAGTAATGTGTCTTAGGAGATGATAAAAACTGTGATAATCGGGTTTTGATTTTTCCCAAGGTATTTATTATGTGAATTAATTGTTTGCATGGATTAAATATATGAGTATGTGTATTTTATACATAGGGATACATGCATAATATGTGGGTGTATATATGTATATATATATATGTGTGTGTGTGTGTGTATACATGATATAGACATGCATGTGCATGTGTGTGCATAAAATTATATTTATGTATGCATGCATGTGATTAGGGAGGGGTTTTGACCGACTTTCCAAATGAGGAAAGTATATATATGAAGTTTTGGTGAAGAGGCAATCTTTTTGCCTCATTTGAGAATTGTGAGACTTAGAGAAAGAATCAACCGGAGATCAAGCTTGGAATCATTATGTTTTCATCTTCTTCAAAATCTAAGTTGTTACTTCAAGGTGAGTGATTTTTAAACTTTTTGCATAAAATTTGTTACTGGTTTTACTTGAATGTTGTTTATTGTTGGAAATAAATCAGTATTTTAATTAAGGGTTTTATCCGGTCAAAGGGTAACCGGACTAAGTATAAATCGGACAAAGCTTGTCCGGATTACTCTTAAACCGGACAAGATGTGACCGACTTAAGTTGTAAATCGCTCAATTGAATTATGTAAATCGAACAAAGGTTTTGAACTGATAAGTAGGAATACGACCAAGTGTTGTACGGTTTAGTCTTAAATCGCCTAAGGGTTGTGCGGATTAGTTATAAATCGATTAAGCATTGAGCGATTAAGTTTTAAATCGATCAGGTGTTGTCCGGATTGCCTTATACCGGACATGAGTCATGCGATTTAGTCTTAATCGACCAAGGGTTGTCCGGATTAGTCAATCGGACAAAAGGGAAAAGTGTTGTCCGGACTTTATATCCGGATAACTTGTCCGGATAACTTCTTATTTGGAAATTTTTCGTGAGATTTATATTTTAGACTTTTTATATGGTTTAAAATGTCTATTATTGGGTTTAATTATGGATTATAAAATGGGTATTTTATATCTTTTTAAATAWAAAGATATGTTCCWACCAAGCGTGGTGACGTAAGTCTGTTTTGGTTTGGAACGGAATTTTTGGGAACTGTTTCTACCAAGCGTGGTGACGTAAGTTTGTTTTGGTATGAAACTATATTTTGGGAAACCTTTCTACCAAGCGTGGTGACGTAAGTCTGTTTTGGTATGAAATTGTATTTTGTAAACTGTTTCTACCAAGCGTGGTGACGTAAGTCTGTTTTGGTATGAAACTTGTTTTAAGTGGTAGTTCCCCCATACGTGGTGACTTTTGTCTGTTCTGGCTTGGAACTGGGAATGGGTACTTTCAGACGTGGTGACTTATGTATGTTCTGATAAGTAGCCATGTTTTGATGAAGGAATAAGGGTGACATATCAAGGAGAGGTGTCCTTGGAATAAGGGTGGCATTGTCATATGTGGATAATAGTATAACTTTTATTATTGTTACTATTAACTTTGAGTCATCATTTCTTTGTGACCTGATGAATTAAAGATATTATTCCTATTAGAAATAATAATTTAGATGTTATTGAGAAGAGGAAAATAGTTTGTTATAACAGGCAAGTATTGTCTTAAATCTTTTCTATTAATATTTACAAAGGAATGGTCTATTGATTCAAGAAGTTTTGGTTATAATATTTGTTTCATATTGGGAACGTTGGATCTCTAAGCAGAGGTATTTTATAGAACTGAGGTTCTTGGGTATATTCTATTTTACATGATATTGTGAACTGCATCATTTGTTTGTATTGCAAAATATTTCTAAGCAAAGTTACATTATCATATTTTGGTGTTCATCACCCTGCATTTGCAATGAAGTGATTTACTCACTAGACCCTTCTGGTCTAACCCTCATTTTCTGTTTTAAATTATGCAATGCAGGAATAGCGGTGTCCGATGATATTAAAGGGAAAGGAAAAATGTGATTATTTTCCTAATCTGTTATCTGCTTTTGAAGATACATGTTGTATTACATATAATAGTACAAGATTTGTTTTGGAAATTTTATATGTAGATTTTGTACATATAGTAATCCTTGTACTAGTGGGACCTTATGATGTAAACTATATTTCTATGTAATGAAATATGTGTTATATGCAAATGTGGTATTTGGAGGCGTTACAGAAGTGGTATCAGAGCCTTAGTTTAACAGATTTAGGTATTCAAAGCATGATGCCTAGACTTAAACTGTCATTTGCATGTTAAGAGTCTCGAATATTATTAGTATCACTGGGAATAAAATATAATGGGTTAAAGAGGGCAGTATGTAAGATGAATTTGAATTACAAATGACCAATGTAATTATGAATTTACAGGTACATGCCTATACTCGGACACCATATTATATTTGTGAATGTGAATACGTGATGTTTAATACTAAAATATCTGCAGATGTCTAGCCGATCACGAAGATCAGAAAGAATTGTCCGCCCTGAATCTGAAGAAAGGGAGGAATCACCCGGTAATCCACCAACCTATGCTTCAAGGAGTAGAGGTCGTGGAAGGGGTAGGGGTAGAGGTCAAGGAATAAGTCAGATTCCTGAGAGGAGTCAGGCCGAGATTCTCCCTGATCAAGGGGAATATATTTCTGGGAATGCTCAACAGGAACAAAGGCAACAATCAGAGTTTATAACTAGGAATGATCTGGCAGAAGAAATGGGAAAACTGAGGAAAACTCTGATATCCATTATGGGACTGCCAGCTAGAATAGAAACCGAGCGAGTTGGAATTAATCCTCCAGCTCCCTCAGCAGGCAGTAACACTCAGGGAGGGGATATAAAGATGTTTCTGACGTGTAAACCTCCAACTTTTTCAGGGGAAAGAGATCTAGTAAAAGCAATGTGCTGGATAAAAGAGATTGAATTGGTATTCAACACCAGTAGGTGTTCTGAAGAAAATAAGGTTAGATTTACAGTGTCTATGCTTAAATGTCTTATATTGGTGGGATGTGAAATCCTCAGCACGACCGAATATACTACAGACCATGTCTTGGGAAGAATTTGTGAATAAATTCAAAACACAATTCTGTCCTACGACAGCAGTAAGGCAGATGGAGGAAGATTTTCTGAAACTGGAACAAGGGAATAGATCTGTACGGGATTATACCGAGAAATTTATCGAGTTTTCCCGTTTTGTTGAACATTACGTATCTTCCGAATCCCGAAAGGTAGAAAGATATATTTGGGCTCTGAAACCTTCTATTCGGGAGTTCGTGATTGCTATGAACCCTGAAACTTTTTCTTTAGCCGTCATTGCTGCCGAAGTTACTGAAAGAAATAAAAATTGGCAAGGTGAAGAAAAATTTGTGGAGAAAAGAAAATGGGAAGGGTCTTCAATCAGTTATCGAAGACCCAAGTTTATTAAATCAGATAACTGTATTCCTCAACCGCCACCCGTTAGAACCTGCCCGCAATGTCAGCAGGTGCATCAAGGAAATTGTCCGTCTGAACCAAAGAGATGTTATCGTTGTGGGGAGACAGGGCATTTGTCAAGGGACTGCATTACACCGAAAAGATGTTTTCAGTGCAATTCACTTGACCATATCCCACCAAATTGTCCACAATTGAAAGCTCCTCGTTTGATAATGGGAGAAAATGCTCCCAGTAATCGTGGAAGGCCTAGTGCACCGAGGGGAGGCCAGAGCGGGGCCAGGGGTAGATCATTTCAAATGACGAAAAACGAGGCAGAAGCAACCCTAGATGTAGTAACATGTATCTTTCTTCTGAATTTTATACATGCCAAAGTGTTGTTTGATTCTGGTGCAAATTTTTCATTTGTATCACCGTCATTTGCTCAATCTGCATGTTTGAATTATGTGCTACTTGATGACGAATTAGTAGTTGATACTGCTAATAGTCAGGAATCTTTTACTAGAGTATTCAATAATTGTGTTATTATTATTGAGGGGTGTGAGTTACCGATTCAACTGTTCCCTATGCCGATGAAAGAGTTTTATATAGTGGTGGGTATGGACTGGTTGGCAGAGCATCAGGCTAGTATTGTTTGTAATAAGAAGATGATCAGAATTACTCTGCCAGATCAAGAAACAGTTATTATTTATGGTGATCGTCAGGATCATCATGAAACTGTAATAAAAGCCCGAAAGTCTATTCGGAAGGGATGTCAGAGGTGTTTAGCATATGTTATTGATGCAAAGAAAGAAAAAGGGAAACATGAATTGATTCCAATCATTAATGAATACCCTGAAGTATTTCCAAAGGATTTGTCTGGGTTACCGCCAGATCGAGTCATTGAATTCTGGATTGATCTTATACCTGGTGCAGCACCAGTGGCCAAGGCACCGTATAGATTAGCTCCTTCGGAATTGAAAGAATTGGTTACTCAGTTGAAAGATCTGACTGATAAATGATTCATTAGACCTAGCACTTCACCTTGGGGTGCTCCGGTCTTGTTTATCAAGAAGAAAGATGGATCTATGCGAATGTGTATAGACTATCGAGAATTGAATAAAGTAACCATCAAGAACAAGTATCCTCTACCAAGAATTGAGGACTTATTTGATCAACTGGTAGGAGCAAGTTATTTCTCCAAAATCGATTTGAGGTCAGGATATCATCAGCTTAAAGTCAGGGAGGAAGACGTTGCTACAACAGCTTTTCAAACCAGGTATTGGCATCATGAATTTCTAGTTACGCCATTCGGCTTAAATAATGCGCCCGCAGCTTTTATGGATTTAATGAATAGAGTATGTAAAGAATACCGAAGAAGAACATGCGGAACATCTTCGTTTGATACTGGAATTGTTGAAAAGAGAAAAGTTGTATGCCAAGCTGTCCAAGTGTGAGTTCTGGTTAAGGGAAGTTCAATTCTTGGGTCAAGTT